ACCTAGTGGAGCTGCAGTCCTACAGTTTAGTTCCAACCTTAATCTTCGAAAATAATAATAAAAATAGCATGACACAAACTTTCATTGCTTTCCTTAAAAAATAATTAAGTAACACGTTTAGTTACGTTTCTAAGAGAGACTTAAGATCGTAATATATCACTTCAAAAGGTATCTTTACCCAACACTGCTATTAACTTACCCTAAAGTATTTTACTATCGATTTACTGTATTTATATTATAACCAACATTCAAATATAATGCTATTTTACAGTTACTCTAATATACTGTAGTCAACATTTGAAGGGACACCCCATTCTGGGAGAATTATGAAATAAATATGATCAACTTCAAATGTTGAATTCTATATATTGTTTCAAATACCTGAGGAAATCCCATCACATTTGGTCAGAAATTGTAAAGTAATATTTGATGACCTCCTGAACCAAATAATGCAAAGGCAGCACAAACATCACAAAAATCTAGAAAATCAGGCCCTCGATAACGGAACATGTTGCACAATTTCTTGTCTTGGCCACCGCCTTCTACAGGACTTCCACTCGTTCTTACAAGTCTACTTCTTGACTAACTGGTCCAGGTGTGGTAAAATAGAGTTATAAACCCTTCAGCCATCGAGGAACAGGTTTGGATGTACCTGCTCTGCATTATTTTTAACACATCTTCTTCTATCATTCATTCAATGTACATTCCATTATGCAGTAGTGTAAAGTAATTACAAATACTCTAAGTAGTAGTTTTTCTCAGAAACTGTAATTTACTAAGTATTTTTAAAAATGTAAAAAAAATGTATTATTAATCAATAATAAAATCAAAAATACAGTGAAGATGCTTAAAGCATAGTTTAAACATAATAGATATATAGATCTAGATAGATAATAACTCATTTCTTTTATCTTTGCTATGATGACAGTACATTATATTTTACTAGATGGTTTTCAAGATACTAGTATTCAGCTTAAAGTGACATTCAAAGGCTTAATAAGGGTAAATAGACAAGTCATTGTATATCAGTAGTTTCTTCTGCAGACAATCAAACATATGTATTGCTTAAAGGGGCTAATAACATCGAGCTATTAAAATAGGTTTTTAAAATATTCAAACCTGCTTTTATTCTAGCTGAAATAAAACAAATAAGCCTTTCTCCAGAAGAAAAAATATTATAGGAAATACTGTAAAGAAATCCCTCTGTTAAACATCATTTGGGAAATATTTATATTATATGTAAAAATAAATTCACTGGAGGACGAATATTTTTGACTTCAACTGATTATCGTTTTGAATAATCGTGATTACAATTACGACCAAAATAATTGTGATTATGATTTTTTCCCATAATCGAGCAGCCCTAAGTTGATGATGACGTTACATGAGAATGCTGATGACTGCATATTGAGAAACAGTCATGGAAAATTCATCAGAGCTGGTGGTCCCCCAAGAACGTGGTCGAGAAACACTGATTTACTCAACTTCAAGTGGTTCCTTACGTTTATGATTTTCCTTTTTCTGTTGATCTTCCATATTTGTAAGGTAAAAAACTTACCATTGACTTCACAAACACTATGGAAGTCAATGGTTATAGGTTTCCGACATTTTTCGAAATATAATCTTTTAAAAACAGGCTTGTGACAAGTGAAGGCTGAGTAAATTACAAAATTTTCAGTTTTAGGTGAACTATCCCTTTAATTTACATGGCTCATATTACCATCATGACAGTTACCAAAACCTTTTTAACTAGTGTCACTACTGTTATCAAGTAAAGGCAGTTCACAGCCCTCATAAAAATAAGAAGTATACTTTTACCTTAAAGTGATAGCTCACCTAAAATTTACAATGATGATGTCATCATAGTCACCTTTGACTTGTTCCAAACTTGTTTTAGTGTTTTTGTTCTGTTAAACTCAAAAGAAGATATAGTGAAGATGTTGGCAAACTGTAACCATTGACCCCCATAGTACTTGTTTTCCTACTATGGATGTAAATGGTTACAGTTGATATCTCTTTCAGCAAAGTTCAAGTATATTTTTCAGTATACTTTATGGTAACAATACTAAAATACTAGTATTGTTCTTGTAAATGTTTTACTTGATTAAATTTATTGTTTACACTTTTTTTATGTTGACAAACCCGCTAACAATATGCATTAGCTTGAACAACTGCACGAGAATTGAGGGGGGTAATCCAGTTCATCCAGTTTGTTCAGTTTGAGTATTTGAGTAAATCCTTCCATATAGAGTTATTTTAAGTCTGTTAAAATATTGCCCTATGTCTGTCTTTTTCCTTAGCTTTGCAGTGTAATGTTGCATGCTCAATTGTTTGTCTTTTCTAGATTACAGCACAGCACACAATCCTGTTTTATGTATTCGAGTAATGACTGATTTAAACCGGTATGTCCAGTCAGATGGGTCATTATGGTATCTTCTTTCTTGTTGTTAATTTTTTTAGCAACTTGTTGTTGGATACTATATAAAAATGTCAGTCATGCATTCGCTTAATTACACACTTTGGAAGTGTGGGATTAACGCTCACAGACGCAAATATAAAAATATATATACAGGTAAAGTCAGAATTATTAGCCCCCCTTTCAATTTGTTTTTCTTTTTTTAATATTTCACAAATGGTGTTTCAGAGAGCAAGGAAATTTTCACATTATGTCTGATAATATTTTGTCTTCTGGAGAAAGTCTTATTTGTTTTATTTCAGCTAGAATAAAAACAGTAAATGTTTTAGAAGCCATTTTAAGGTCAAAATTATTAGCCCCTTTAAGCTTTATTGTTTTTTCAATAGTCTACAGAACAAACCATCGTTATACAATAACTTGCCTAACCTACCTAATTAACATAATTAAGCCTTTAAATGTCACTTTAAGCTGTATAGAAGTGTCTTGAAAAATATCTAGTCAAATATTATTTACTGTCATCATGACAAAAATAAAATAAATCAGTTATTATAGATGAGTTATTAAAACTATTGTGTGCAGAAATGTGCTCAAAAAAAATCTCTGTGTTAAACAGAAATTGGGGGAAAAAACAGCGGGGCTGATAATTCAGGGGGGCTACTAATTCTGACTTCAACTATACAGACATTAAATAATCATCACTATAGTAAATAAATAAAATTACAAAAAACATTTATGTGTTTATTTTGTAAATCTTTGTTATTAATGATTTGCTGGATAAAACTTTACAGGAAGCTTCAATTATTTATTACTTCTATTATATTTTGTGGTAATAATGACAACAATTTTTTTCTCGAATTTTTACATTTATTTTTATTGATCTGCAGTTTCATTACTGTTATTACAAATAATAAATAAGTAAATATGTTTTTTGTAAATCTTTTAAAATAATGATTCATCAAGCCACAGTTTTATGATACTTATTATTAAAAAAATTACTTTTAATAAACTTTTAATAAAATTACAAAACGTGTGTGTTTCTTTTGCAAATGTTTGTAAGTAATGATTTACTGGATACAACTTTATAGGGAAGTTATTTTGACTATGATATTTTTGTGGTAGACCTATATGAGAATGCTTTCTCCAGCGTGGAATTATCGATCTAGTTTCTTAATAATTATTACAAAAATAATAAGTACATAAATAAATAAATAGGCCTTATATTTAATAAATACATTTATATTTCTTTAGTAGCTTTTTGTAAATAATGATTCACTGGATAAAACTTTATCAGAAACTCCAAATTGTTATTTTTACGATAGTATATGTTATTATTCTAATCGCAAAAATAAAGGAAAGATAGATAGATAGATAGATAGATAGATAGATAGATAGATAGATAGATAGATAGATAGATAGATAGATAGATAGATAGATAGATAGATAGATAGATAGATAATTTGCAAATTAATTAACCCTCACTTCTCATTTGAAATTGACTCACTACTTAAAGCCATACATTTATCTATTAACAAAAAATCTGCAAGCTAATAGAAATATATGAAAACCTCACACTGTAAAACCCAACAGTCAACTTTATCAAATGAAGTGTAGTTAACTCAGAATTGACTAAAAGTTCATTCTACTCAATAAAAAAAGAGTATTGAACTAAGCGTTGAAGGTAATGAGTTAATTAAATACCTCATTACTTCAACTTAAATGGAGTAAGTTTGCAGTACTCAAGTAGATTAGTTATTTTAACTCAAATGGTTTGTAGCAATCGGTTTCCTCAAACGGTTTGAGTTGTCTTAAATTATTGGGTTTTACAGTACTCAGTTGGTTTGAGTTCTCTTCATTTATTGGGTTTTACTGTGCTCAAATTGCTTCATTTACTCAAATGCATTAGGTTCACAGTACTCATTAGGATTAGTTTGTGAACTTAAATGGTTTGTTGCAATCGGTGTCCTCAAACGGTTTGAGTTATCTTAACTTTTGGGGTTTTACAGGATGCCTGATGTTTAATGCTTTTTATTCCTTTTAATTGAACCCTAATTCCTCTTGTTGTCATTAGTTATTTGTTCTTGTTTTTTATTGTACGTACAACTCTTTTATGTGGTACTATCTTACTTGTATTCCTGTTCTGTACAGATTCATTCCTGAATATTTTTGTATATTTCTTTTTCTGTCATCAACTCTTCTTCCGGCTTATGCTGACTGTACCAAACTGTATTATTTATTTATTCATTTATTCATTTACTATTTTTCATTGATCAAATATTTTTTTAAGTTTCACTGACTTCAATAGAGTAATCCTAAATCTCTTAAAACATATCAGCTGCTGAACAAAATGTACATGATTAAAATGCTTGAGTTAAATGTACTTATTTTTGTAGTAAATTCCCTTGTATGCTGTTTTATGTATAACTCTGTATTCCACCTCTTCTTCCGGTGTGAAGCTGCTAGACTGGCGCATAAAACGCAATGCGCTGCAGTGACGTCAGGCCCTGCCAGTTTGTAATTGGGTGGAAACTGACAGCCCCGCCTTGAAGTCTACTTCAACACATCCAACTTAACTTTATCCTTTTAGTTTGTCTCTTCATCATGCTGCGGTTCTGACATAACGCGACATTTTCACCCGTTATGTTTACAGCCACGACGTCGCTATTTGTGAGGTGATACAGTGATTTATACAATGCAGAATGGACAAGAAGAAAAACATAGACATTGCTTTTAAAACCACTGGATGCACTTGGTTAAGTCCAGTCAGCGATCAGGTTGGAGTTCCTTTGGATCAGGTAAGTCATCTAGAAAACACCTCAAATTTGAGTTTTGATTTACTCATTAGTTCGAAGTTTATCTAATATGTCTATTTACATATACAGTGTTGGAGTTTTAACATATTCTACAACTTATATGATACCAAACTCAGCTTCAGCTATGATAGAAAAACTGGTTTCACAAGTTTTTTTTGACAGAACATTTACGTTACTTGTCAGTCGGCTTGGACTTTCTTATTAATTTGTTTAGAATTTCATATTTTAGGCGTATTTTCATTAAGTTTTATAATTATGATCTGTAGAATTTCATATTGCAATGTATTATTTACATAAAGCTGTTTTGAAGAAATCTCCACAGCACTCTTAATACAGAACATGTTCATCCTCAGAAATGTGTCATAATTTTGTCACCAGAAAAAAATTGCAGAATGTTTATCCTGTATTAGCACTAAAAGTCTTATTTAATTTATGTATTTATGTGTTTTGTTTTTAATTGTACATTACCTAACAAAATTCTTGTCCCAGATCCTAGTTGTGAGCGCAACAAATAATAACTTGACTTCTAGTTGATCATGTGGAAAAAGTGGCAGAAGATAGATTTTTCAGATGAATAGTCTGTTGAGCTGCATCCCAATCATCACAAATACAGCAGAAGCCCTAATGGAACCCGGATAGACCTAAGATTCTCACAGAAATCAGTCAAGTTTGGTGAAGGAAAAAAATCATGGTTTGGGGTTACATTACACATCAAAGTTCCTGAAAGCAAATAAGGTCAAGGTGCTCTAGGATTGGCCAGCCTAGTCACCAGACATGAACATTATTGAGCATGTCTGGGGTAAGATGAAGGAGGAGGCATTGAAGATGAATCCAAAGAATCTTGATGAACTCTGGGAGTCCTGCAAGAACACTTTCTTTGCCATTCCAGATGACTTTATTAATAAGTTATACGAGTCATTGCAGAGATGTATGGATGCGTCCTCCAAGCTCATGGGAGTCATACACAATATTGACACTTTTTCCACTGCAGCATGACTTTATACTCTGTACTGTACATTACTTACTGTCCTAATTAAATAATAAAAATAAAGGCATCATCATATTTCATTTTGGTAAAATAAGCATAATCTAAAGGCCTTTGTCTTTCATACAGGCCACTTCTGATACCAAATGATCAACTAGAAGTCAACTTATTATTTGTTATTCCTAAAACTTGGATAGGCGACAAGACTTTTGTCAGTTAGTGTATGTTTGTTTATGGAATGTTCTTGCCGTGAAAATAGTCTTTGTTGCTGACATGGCATTAAACACAAAATCATCTTCATCATAATTTGCAAGCTGAGTAAAACCAAAACAATTACAATTTATATAAAACAAACTAAATGTATAGTACAGAACATAAAGAGATGACTTATTTTACTATAAGGGGAATATGAATTTCTTTTAAAGTAATATAACAAAAGTATAGTATGCTGTCTGGACGGAGGTGGGGGCTTGAATCACATGAACACAGTTGCAAATTGAAAGGCTTATGTGACTTGCTTGACCACATTAAGAAAATGACTTAACTGTGACTTGAGATCCAGTGATTTGTTATTTGGCATGGCATTGAATGGAACTGTATGATTTGACTGACTTTATAAGACATTTAAATAAATTACTATTTTCTCAACATACTTTTCTATGCACAATTTACAAAGTAAGCATCCCACACACAACAATCCCAAAAGGAAAAGATATGTAAGCTAAAATATCCATTGTTCGTTTATTTAAACAATGTTTCAAGAGAATAATATGAAAACAGCATGCTTGTAGTATATTTGCTTTCAAGTGTAGCTTAAGGCATCATGTTTATTAATGATTAATCTTATGTTTTGTAGTTAATGTGGTCAAACCTGAATTTCACTAGAAAAGATAAGATGCTCTTGGTATGCCAGTTATGTCTATTTTTATGTTAATTTGTAACCCCTTATAACTGATTTACACTTGCTTCTGAATGTACACATTGATTGAATCCATTTGAATCTTTCAGGTTTAGATATAATTCTTGATATGCACTGGCATTTGCCTCATTTTTTCCTAACGATGGAGTTTTAATTGGAAATATGTCTCAAAAGTTAATAATGCCTCAGTGTTATATATTAGTAGTCGAAATGGTAAGGGGATTAGGGTGAAATAGATTAAGAACTAATAAAATACCTATTCAAATCAAAAAGATGATGGTGAAATGTACCTACTGTAATTTTGTTTTACCTACTTGAAATTTTCTGATTATTTAATTTTTAGAAGTTTCCAGTGTGATAATAATTCAATACAATACTTCAGTTAACTGAACACTGATATTGAATAAATGAGATAATGAGATTTTAGTCATACTTAAACACAATTTCTACAATTTTGTTCTGTTCGAATATATATAAAAATAATGTTAATATTTCATGTTTATTTATTTATTTTTAATTTTTTTTAATTTTTTGCTAAAAGTGGTTAATCTTGATTAAACTACATAAAAATCAGTCGGCTGAATAATTTTGCACATATTTAAGTCTGTGGGACTTGAAGGATTTCTTGTCCTCTTATTCCTCCTTAATTCCTGTTTATCTTATGAAGTTTTTGTGTTACATTTACAACCTGTTCACATAATTCTACATCACTTAATAGTCATCAGATTTTTGTACTTTTGAACTTTTCAGTTCTCGTCAAAACACATTTAAAACACCTTTGTTTGTTTCAAATGAACACAAATATGTTTTTGGGGTTGTAAAAAATATAGAAAAGGTTTCATTTAAAGCCGCTTAACATAAGATTGCAGCCGACTAAATGTAGAAAATTATAATGATATTAATAATGACTAAGAATACTTTTGGATTGTACTGTGTCATTGAAATGAAGCCATGTTTATATAAAAAATAATGCTGTATACATAACAAAAACAACATGTTTTATTGTACACAAACCATTTTGGCCTCTGCTTCTAACCCCTTCAGGTGAATTTCATTGCCTGTCAGCTGTTTGGATTAGCAGCTGCATTCTGGTTTCGCCTCTATCTCAGTCCCCAACGTGCCACTCCTGAGGTCCGACATGCGGTCGCTGCCATCCTTGGAGCTTCGTCTGTCATGTTTTGCTTTGGCTGGTACAGGAGACAGCTTTTCTGATTGACACTTCTCATGACACGATAAATTCTTGAGATTTTCAAATACTGTAAAACATTGTTTGCACACTCATTACTGAAGTATGATATTTTTCATTAAAATATCCAAAAACCACTTAAATATAGTTAGATATCTTGTTGACTTACGATATTCCAAATTTGAAGAATGCTAAAATCCAGAGAAAAAGCAAATTTACTTGGTGACCATTTCCTGTGTGTTCATGCTAACAACCAGACCCTACAGGAATTTGCGATTCAGCGATCAATGATTTTAAAGGTGCAATAAGTTTGCCACCCAGTGGTTAAACTAGGTATTGCATTCCTGGATCATAACACAAGCACGCGCAGATTGTCAGATTGAGTACCAACAGAAGTGTTCCTGGCTATCGAGCCTAAAGGCTGATTTAAATCGTGCTCTAACTAAAAGCAACGGCACACGATAGAAGGAATATTTTCCATATAAAAAGAAGTTTTTTAATCAACTCTGCGAATTTATATTTTAGAAATGGCTTCTGTTTCTCATAGCTGAACAACAGAAAACTGACAATGATCACCTCAGGTACGCCACATGTGCTTTATTCAGTGTTAAATGCTAATAATGTTAGTTTGAATACCATTTTTACATGACATTTATTGTCATACTACTGAAAGCAGCAGCAGATAGTTCACCTGAGATCTTAAAAATAGATAAACTGTCTGAAATTGAACATTAGAACTGTGACTCAGTGCAAGCCAACACATATCAGTGATTCAGCATCTACATTTAATAATGTTAAAGAGGTTTAATATGTGTTAATTAGATTATAAACCTTATCATTTCGCTGGAGTGCATTCTGTGTTTCTGAATGGCTGTATTTACATTTCTGTTGAGTTTCATTTGGTAATTTCATTTTCTCATCACTTAGCGTATTGTTAGGACACTGGGTTACAATGTAACCTGCTCACCTAATGTTTACGTTCATTATATATATATATATATATATATATATATATATATATATATATATATATATATATATATATATACATATATTATTTGCTAATTAATAACCTCATGTGGAACTCTGAATCTGCTTCTCATTTCGGATTCTGCTACTGTCCACCGTAGGTCGCATTTCGGTCACGGTCACATGCGTTAAAAGCCTTTATGAATGAATAAACAAAATAAGCTGTTTTCCACCAAGGCAAAAAGTTAGTTTCATCTTCAAATGTGGTTCAGCAGTTTTATGGGTACATGTCTAGCTTCTCTCTGTTTCTCTCAGTGTTTCCTTTATATAAAAAACAAAAATCAATGACTCTCAATGTCAAAAGATTAATAAAGAATTCAGATGTGTATTTGCGTATATTTTCACAGCAGCACAATAAAAGAAATGCGGCAAATTTTTCAAAAACTGGCCATATAATCAAGCATTTTAGTTGCAAAAAAAAAAAAAAGAAAAAGAAAAATAAAACAAAAATTTACAAAATCCTGGAAGGACTGAATAACCCTCGATTTGCTTTCATAGAAAACAGGGATACAGCAAAGTCACTTTAATATGTTGTTTTATTAGATTGCACAGGGCAGCATCATAGCAGAAACCTGAATTGTATTTAGTCTGATAAAACAGCAATGCTTATTCCCCACTTGATTATGGGGAAGAACAGAAAGTGATGGACTGTGGCATAAAAAAATATAATGCCGGGCATCTGTATTGGTTTTCCAAATTACACTTCATCAGTCATTTACTATCCCCTGTGTTTTTAAGTGTTTTAATATAAATCAGATAACAATATAAAACATGTTCTATGTTTTACTTCTAGAAACATCTTTAAACATGCTATCAAAATGTTTCGGTATTAGATTATACCATTAAAACCTTGATATTCGATTATGCCAGTAACAATAAAATTTGATGTCAGTATGTTAAATGTTGGCGTCATAAATGATGTTAGCCTTAATTAAGTTGTTCTCCACATAAACCACATGTTCTTGTTGTCACAGGTATGCTGTACATATCTTCATTCTGGTTTTGGCTTGTTATGGGATTATGATTAAAGCCAGCGTCCGCAATGTTCACAGGTAATCAGTGTCTTTGTTTAATTGGGGAACATATACTACTAAGGCTGTGGAATATGGACAAAAAAGCACATCTTTATATTGGTGGGGGGAATGATATAAAATGGATATGTAGTGGTTGTACAGGTATATTTGTAACTTAATAATTAAAATAATAATATTTAATAATTTTATTTTCTGTATCTGTCCATCTAGTAAGTGTCCTACAAATAATGTAAAAAATAATTATTTAGTTTTTAAAGAATTATTAAACGTTGAATATCATAATGAAATGTGAACTAGCTGTAATATTTAGATAACAATACTAGAGAATTCAAAACCATATGAAGTCATTTAAAAAAATGAATTGTATTAGTTATTAACTCCATTTAATAAAACTACTTCGACTTTTGATTTCAATGTGTTATTTAAGTCTGATTTACACTTGTGCATTGAGTGATCGCCGTGACCAATGGTGCATATCTTGCACATAGTTGTGCATTTATACTTCTGCGTGCTGTTTGTGTTGCTCTGCAATAACACATCCGAAACACTAGCTGGCAGTAGGTTTAAATGTTCCTCTGTGTCGAGTTTCTTCGTGGTTGTTCTTCGTGGTTGTTCTGTTTTTTCTGAATGCTTTCTTAGTGTATAAGTAGCTCAAACTCGCTCATTTGGAGACAGGAACCAGCGGACTTGCAGCAATCAATTAATCATAAGGTCAACACAAAACAAAAGATTCCACCTGGAGCTCCTTCACGGGACTCCACTCTTAAAAACACTCACCCCATTTGGCTCGCGGCTCTCAGCCCCGCCCACACTCGTCAGCACTACCAAACTGAATAATCACAGAGCTTGCACTAGTTAAATTTTTTATAAAGCTGCGCATTAGCGTCGGCGTACGCACTTGAAGTGCAGTTGAAGTATAAATCAGCCTTAAGGCATTAGCTAAGAAACTGGGCCCTATCATCCACCTGGCCCAATACCTATTTCTATGACGTGTTGCTATTATCAGACCATAATTTTCCCATTTTCCGCCACGTTCTTTAAATAGCAAATCCATTTGCGCCACTTTGTGGACTCATGGGTGTTTCGGTCTAGATAAGAGGTGTGTTAAGGCGCATTGCTGGCACGTTGCTCTTTTGAGGAACTAAAATAGGCCGCACAATAAACCAGCTGAGAGGAGGTCTAAAGTCCAGCGCAGAGCGCGTTAGTTGTGCATCTCCTTTACATATTGCTTAATACACACAGGATGTACAGCAATACACAAATATCTTTACAAATTAAAAAGAATTAAAGGATTAAAATATTACAAATTTAATTTTTCTCTACATAAATATAAAAACCACTGCTTTCATGCCTTCTTCATCATGACCATTTGCTTTTGTACAATGTTATAAATAGTAGTAGTAGTATTTATTATATGCATATTTATATTTGTTTTAATATAAACAAGCTTATTTGTCCACCTGTCAGGTTTTAGACCATATGGGGCATACCATGTGTATTAGGACATAACTTTTCGACCACACTTCACTTTTATTATTTATTTATTTATTAGAAATAACAATTTAATTAGACCTGAATTTAGAAATAGTTTTGAAACAAATCTTTGCGCTTAATAAACAAAATTAATTATGTAGGCTAATGGATGTCTGTGCGTAGGCCTACAACACGTTTCCTTATCAACGAAAGGCTCATTCTTTATCCTCACGCTGCAGATGCTCTGCTTAACTGTTTTCTCGCTAGTTAAGTGAACTTACAAAGTCCCATGCACCATGGAGCGGCGCAACTGACTCTTAAGTGGAATGAGAGATGAGAATCTGATTGGTTTATTTTCAAAACACACCCATAACTAATTAAGAGAATAAGCGCAACCCTGTTAGCCCATGTGCTGCCGCGCAAAGTGGATTTTTCCGTCCTTAAAATAGCAAAAGTGGATTCAGACACGCCCTTAATGCTTTTGCACTTTGCGCCTAGATAATTAAAATAGACCCCAGTAATGTCAGCTAAGATAAATAAATGCTTTGTGTAGTGGTCATTAAATTGAATTTAGTTAAATTAAATTGATATTATTACGCTGCCTTTGGGAATACTTGATTCTGATTCTGATAACAACTGCTAAATAACACAGGCTCATCCAGTAACTTTGATTCATAGAATTACCTGGAACGACAAATTTATATACTAACACCTTCACATAAGAAGTTTTAACTGATTGATTGTTTGGCGCCATCTTGTGAATTAAAAATAAAACATAGTAGTTTGTTTATGCTTTATCCACCCAGTTTAGTTTCTGTCAACCCCTGTCAATACAAGTGTATGAATATTATTAAAAGGCACTCTTAAAGTTATAATAATAAATCATTATTCTTTGTATTTTGAAGTGCTCATGAGATCAATATTTAGCATGTTTATTTTTTACAATATATTAAATAACAGATACGTAAACACTTAAAATTATATAATTATAATATTAAATTATTATAATTTTTTTATTGCAGATATACTATGGTTGCATCAATCGGATACCTAACAGCTTGCCAAGTGAGCAGAGTGTTCATATTCGACTATGGCATCCTGTCCACAGATTTCTCTGGGTGAGGAATTTTTCTCAGGGTAAAGTTTTTCTTTTGTGTCACTTCAGTTCACTATGAGTACTGCTGCAGTAAAGTTGATTACTTTTTCATGACCTGCTTGAAATGGGCGTTATACTCCCAAATGCTTTTATTTCTGTAGATACAGCCTCTCCCTGAGGCTTGACTTTCTTATCTACCAGTTGTGTTAGTTTTCCTGAGCTGAGGTTTTGGTACACACCCTTGGATAAACAAGATGAGATAACACATATAGCGATGACGTTTACCTGCATAGGCTGTCAATGCCTCTGTCACAGTTTACACTCAATTGTTCGACTTGATTTAAATGTAATGATGATTTAGATGTTGCAATAATAAAAGAAAAATATACTGTTGAAGTATTAGCCCCCCTTTGAATTTTCTTTTCTTTTTTAAATATTTCTTAAATGATGTTTAACAGAGCAGGGAAATTTTCACAGTACATCTGATAATATTTTTTCTTCTGGATAAAGTCTTATTTGTTTTATTTCGGCCAGAATAAAAGCAGTTTTTAATTTTTTAAACACCATTTTAAGGTCAGAATTTATAGCCCCTTTAAGCTATATTTTTTCCGATAGTCTACAGAAAAACCATCGTTATACAATAACTTTTCTTATTATCCCAACCTGCCTAGTTAACTTAATTAATCTAGTTAATCCTTCAAATGTCACTTTAAGCTGTCTTAAAAACATCTAGTAAAATATGATTTACTGTCATTATGGCAAAGATAAAATCAATTAGTTATTCGAAATGAGTTATTAAAACTATTATGTTCAGAAATGTATTTTCTCTCTGTTAAACAGAAATTGGGGAAAAAAAATAAAAAGGGTGGCTAATAACTTAAGGGGGCTAATAATTAACATTTTCTGCCTGTTTTACCGAATAATGCTGTCTTGTGTCAAAATGACCAATGTCATGTGACAACTCTTTAACAGTAAGTGTAAAATATGTAAACAGTCTATAAAGTATAACTATTGTTCTGTTATACTGCTGACACCCACACTAGATTGAGAGAAATGGGCTGCAGCGGGGGAATAATGGGTAAGGACTTGTTCTGTGTGTTTGCCTTGAATTCTTGCCCAAAATCATGTGATGACTTTCATCTATGTGGTTAAGACAGCATACAAAATAAATGATGTTAACTTGGATCATACTCTAGTAATCATTACAGTGAAGTACAACATTTTTTCCCAATTTAAAACAGCCTAAATGTGCTCCAATAAATGCTTTTGTCTATATTTTCTACATTGTCATACCTCAAAGAGAATACTTTTTGGTCACACTTTAATTTAATGTACAATTTACGCTATTAACAAACCATTAACTAGGACTTTTCTTTCAGTAAACTACTAATTAGCTGCTTATTAATAGTAGGTAGTCGTTGGGTTTAGGTATTGGGTAGGGTTAGGGATGTAAAATAATATCATATTTTATTAGTGCTAATAAACAGTTCAGTAATAGCCAGTGGCTTAATGGTTAACATCGTCTCACAGCAAGAAGGTGTCTGGTTCGAGTTCTGGCTGAGCCAGTTGGCAGTTCTCTGTGAATATTGCATGCTCTCCTTGAGTTCATGTGGGTTTCCTCCGGGTGCTCTGTTTCCCTCACAGTCCAAAGGCATGCACTATAGGTGAATTGGATAAAATAAATTGATCGTATTGTGTGTGTGAATGTGAGTGTATGGGTGTTTCCCAGTACTGGGTTGCGGCTTGAAGGGCATCTACTGCTTAAAACATGCTGGAATAGTTGGCAGTTCATTCCGCTGTGGTGACCTCTGATAAGTCAGAGACTAAAGCCCCGGTCAGATCACATGATTTCTATTGTCGGTTACGAAAATCCCTGTCAGATTATGCGATCATGTTGACGTCATGTGCCTACTGGGTGTTTAAGGCTATTTCGGTCATCATACAGTAAACATCCGTCATCTTCTCATCAGTGACATGCATCTAAACAGTCTCTGGGTCAATTTTAGACATTTTCTTAGACATTTTTAATGCTTCTAAACGGTTTACTGTTTTTATCAAGCGTCCATGTCATCGACTTTCGCTTTAAGATTTAAAGGGCTGGCAATGCATCAGACCCCCTTAAGTGGTTTCGTTTGAAAGTGTTGAATCTATATTTTATGCTGATATGCATTACTTTGGTTTTAATTGTACTGTACAAAAGTTATTTACACTTAAATACACAGTATTTTGGATACCCAAGCTAGGTATTTTACATTAGTTCATTTTTATAATTTCACATGGTTCATATATGACACATGTACAAGTTATAGCTCAAATGAAAGTTCTTGCCGGTCCTCATACGGTTCTAGCATTCTTTTTACTGAATTATATTCACATATCAAACAGTTGTCGAATGAATCGCAGTGTTTCCATGGCGCAGAAGTGAAAACAATACATTTATGATCAATAAGCAGCCCCAGATAGCACAGACAGCTGTCATCTCTTACCTTATGCTGTGCGCTTCAGGGCCATTTCTCCTCTGTTTTTGAGGTGATGTGCATAAGTAATCCTTTTATATGTCTTATGTGGTCCAAACACAGTGAATTATGTTTGATCAAACAAAAGAATGGTGAAATATGAAAACAATGATCAGTCCCTGTTGCTTGTACAGCACCTTTTATCAGTTGGAATGCAATAACCTTTGCATAGATTATGGTAGAGACATTTTTATTTTTTCCTATGATTACAGACATGTGCAGGAACCACCAAAATTATTACAGCAAGCTAAACCACACAGAACCTAAAAGGTACACTTTCAAATTTGAGTTTATAAAAAAAAATAGAAAAAGCGCCTCTTTTTTTAGGTGTTTATTATAACACAGACAACATATACAGTTATTTTAAACACTTTCAATAGTGTTTATAAAAATTCAAAGGGTTTTCTTTAAAATGATACCAAATTTTTGCATTTACACCTCTGCATGTGGATTTGGGAAGCTTTTAAATTTGGGTAGGCAAAATCCAGGCAGAAATCCTAAAATAGCAGAGCAGAGTTTAACTGGATAACCAATGATTGATCTTATCCACCCGTGACCCACCCATAAGTAAATATGCAGCCTATTTTTGATTACCTGACCGCTGATTAATGGCATCACCCGCAGATATAACTGAGAAATTATGCCCAGTGTCACCCACATGACGGAATTCATCGTGAAAAACAAGATAAAAATTAAACATGCTAGACTTCCTGCGATGGTGTCATCAAGCGTCGCAGACATGGTGTCGTGAACTATGTCACATCACAAGAGAAGAAATTATTAAATCTTGTGTCACGATGCTCATTTGTCGATTACAACACCCTACGTCAAGAAAATCGTGTCAAAATCGTGACAAATTCGTGGGATCTGATCGGGGCTTAAGTCGAAGGAAAAGGAATGAATGTCACATTGTAACATGTAACATGAGCCCATCGTATGTTTTATTTAACTTATGTTTAAACAAATGCTCAAAACACTGATTAAATCAACAGGCATTGCTATTAAAATGTAAATACATGGCTTTTTTTTGTATGACAGCTAATTTAATAAGCATTGGAATAACAAGGGGCACAAAATTATGCTGATGAATTATCCCAGAAGGCCTTTTGTATAACCAGAAGCAGTGTGGGAAATGATGTGGAAGAACTGTGCTGCCTAAGTCTGTGTAATCCTCCTCGAGCGGGAACCGTGGGTTGTAGCACGGCATTCAGAGCTGGATTGTAGTGGCATATTGGGAGCCGAGTCTGTCCAGTTTTTTTTTCTAAAGAGCAGACAAAGTCATTAGTGGGATGTTTGTATAGTCACTCCTCTGGCAGTGAGACTCTCCTCTTTATATCTGTCCTGTTTATTATTAGGGTTAACAAGGAACAGGTCTTTGCCACTCTTCATGCATGTCTTCTCCCCCTCGGGTCAAAAGCAGATGTTTCTATCCTGTCTTTTCCCTCACTGCTAATGCTAAGTAGCAACACCATAATGTTAGCATTTGTTAAGCATTTTATTTATTATACAATTTCACCTTCATCTGAAAATTGACAGAAGTGCCGCCTCTGCAGGCACCACACAGAGGGAAGGCAATTGATTACAATTTCATGATGACGGCACAGTTGAAGTCAGAATTATTAGCCTCCCTGTATATTTTTCTCCAATTTCTGTTTAATGGAGAGAAGATTTTTTACAACACATTTCTAGTCAAGCCATCATAACAACTAGCTACCAAACATCCAAACCACAATGCTAAATCTTAATGGGTTATGCTAGACAGGGAACTAGGAACTCTTTGGATTCTTTAATTTCTCTGTTTGACTTTAATTTCGTATGCATATTCATATAGAGTTAACAGCAGAATCTTTCTTCATTTGGAAATGTAATCCCCACAAGGATTTGATTGGGTCTTCTTGGGTCTTCAAATTACTTCAAGGCAGATTCATTCATTCATTCATTTTCTTTTCGGCTTAGTCCCTTTATTAATCCGGGGTCGCCACAGTGGAATGAACCACTAACTTATCTAGCACGTTTTTACACAGCAGATGCCCTTCCAGCCGCAACCCATCTCTGGAAAACATCCATAAACCCTCATTCACACTCATTCACTATGGACAATTTAGCCTACCCAGTTCACCAATATCGCATGTATTTGGACTGTGGGGGAAACCGGAGCACTCGGAGGAAACCCACGCGAACGCAGGGAGAACATGCAAACTCCACACAGAAACGCCAACTAACCCAGCCTAGGCTCGATCCAGCGACCATCTTTCTGTGAGGTGACAACACTACCTACTGTGCCACTGCGTCGCCCACGTCAAATTAAAATACATTTATTTTACTATAAGTTAATTTACATTAATAATAGTCAAATGAATGCTCAAAATATACTTTTATCCTATCTTATAAATGAATCCAATGCAAACAGATGTACTTCCAATTGAAAGCATATTGTAACTACAGAGTACAGTGTAAATACTAGTTTTATATAGCTGACCTTCTACCTCATTGTCACAGATATAAGGATTATACATTAAACAGTGCTTAATAGGTGCAGTCTAAAAATACTGGAATGTACCAACTCAAATTTGGGGGGAAATATTTACAAAAACCAAATACTGGGTTAAATTTTATCTACCTTTTTTTATCCGTTATACATTTTATCCATGAGTTATCCATGTTTTACCTATATTTGTGTTGGAACAACCCAACATTTATTAGAACTTGTCCAGGATTTCTTATTTCATGGTCATACTGTAGCAACTTGTTGACAGAAATAAATTATATTTATTTAAATTTATGACAGGCGCAGTAGGTAGTGCTGTCGCCTCACAGCAAGAAGGTTGCTGGTTCAATCCTCGGCTCAGTTAGCGTTTCCTCCGGGTGCTCCGGTTTCCCCCACAGTCCAAAGACATGCGGTAGAGGTGAATTGGGTAGGCTAAATTGTCCGTAGTGTATGAGTGTGTGTGTGGATGTTTCCCAGAGATGGGTTGCGGCTGGAAGGGCATCCGCTGTGTAAAAATGTGCTGGATAAGTTGGCGGTTCATTCCACTGTGGCGACCCCAGATTAATAAAGGGACTAAGCCGACAAGAAAATGAAATTTAGGGGTGGCACGGTGACTCAGTGAGTAACACTTTCGCCTCACAGCAAGAAGGTCGCTGGTTTGAGTCCTGGCTAGGCCAGTTGGTGTTTTTGCAGTTTGCATGTTCTCCCTGTGTTCGCTTGGGTTTCCTCCGGGTCCAAAGACATGCTGTATAGGGCAATTGGGTAAACAAAATTGTATGCGAGTGTGTGTGAACATGGATGAATGTTTTCTCAGTACTGCGTTGTGGCTGGAAGGGCGTCCGCTGCTGGAAACGTATGCTGGAATAGTTGGCGGTTCATTCCGCTGTGGCGACCTCTGATAAATAAGGAACAAAGCTGAAGGAAAATAAATGAATGAATGACAAATTCACCAATTGATCACTCTTTATGACTAACTTCTTCATTTGTCTATTTGTGTGCTCCCATTTTCAGCCCTTTGATGATGATAACACAGAAAATCACTAGTCTCGCCTTCCAGGTGTATGATGGTAAGAATATTGCAGGAAAAATTGCCATGTCACTGATAATATATTGATTATTATACTGATATAATTATATTATACAATTATATTCTGACTGTGTTTCAGGTATGGGTCGAAAGCAAGAGGAACTTAAAGATGATCAGAGGCGGCTGGCTGTACAGTAAGAATTTTGAACCCTCATTTCTCAGCAGCAACCAACCACAACATCCTACCAGGAAAATCAGTTCGAAACTTATACTATCAGCTTGTACAGTGTTTAAAAATAACATTGTGCAGTGTTTTGGGAATAACAGCCCACAATACCAGTTAAACACTTCTTTTTTTAAATAATGAAACATTCCTATTGTTTAGATAATCTATATGTTCCTGTACTGAACCATCTATTTCTTTTATTTACAGCTCTAAGCCATCGCTGTTGGAGTACCTAAGCTACAATATAAATTTCCTGAGTGTCTTGGTGGGTCCCTGTAGTAATTATAAAGACTACGAAGAGTTTATAAAGGGCCAGCATGTCCAGCACAGGCTGAAAAGAGTGAAAGACGGCAGCCTGCAACAGAACGGCTGGGATAAAGTGCCTGAGCCATCGCCTGTGGTGAGACACAAAGACAAGTCATTTTAGACATTGCTTAAAGGGGTAGTTCACCCAACAAAAAATGTACATTTCCTCACCCTTAAGTAGTTCTAAACCTTTTTTTTTTCTTCTTCTGAACACAAAATAATGTTTTTAAGAATTTGGGAAACCATGGGTGACCCGGTGGCTCAGTGGTTAGCACTGTCGCCTCACAGCAAGAAGTTCGCTGGTTTGAGTCCTGCATTGAGTTTGCATGTTCTCCCAGTTCACGTGGATTTTCTTATGGGTGCCCTGGTTTCTCCCACCCTCCAAAGACATGCAATATAGTGAATGACTAAGCTAAATTGGCTTTAGTTTATAAGTGTGTGGGTGTTTCTCAGTACTGGGTTGCGACTGGAAAGGCATCCGCAGTGTAAAACATTTGCTGGAATAGTTGGCAGTTTATTCTGCTGTGGCGACCTATGAAATTGAGACTAAGCTAAAGGAAAATTAATGATTGAATTTGGGAACCCGGAAGCTATTGACTTGCATTGGAAATAATAATTTCCAACATTCTTCAAAATATCTTCTTTTGTGTTCAGTTATAGAAAGAAACTCAAACAGCTTAACAAAAGGTAAGTTATGACCACATTTTCATTTATAAGCAAAATATTTATTTTAAGAAATAAATGTATTCACTTAAGACTTAAGAGTATTTACACCGGCAATAAAATTCTGCCATCACTACTAGTAACTCGCCCTTTAAAACTTTTCTTCTGTGAAACCGGAAACTTGTAAAGTCATTTTATTGTGCTTATTTTTTGTAGAACTTGACATAACTTGCCTCATTTATATTTAATTGACTCAAATGAGAGCGGTTAGCTTCTTCTAAACTCCTTTGGTATTCCGATAAAGCAATTAAGTCACAAGGCTTTTGAAAAAAATGAGCATGAATACATGATCCCCGAATTAAATATTCATTAATTTGTGATGTTTTGTTGTGGTGGAATTGTTATAAGATGATAAATTCTTAAAAATGGGCGTTACATTTTTGGATGTTTTGGATCTTTTGAAAAGCATACTTTTGCAAAGTTTGCAGAAAGGATTTCTGCAGTCTGAATATCAAAAAAAAAAAAAAAAATGAATTTGGGGTGGCACGGTGGCTCAGTGGTTAGCACTGTCACCTCACACAAGAAGGTGGCTGGTTCGGTTCCTGGCTAGGCCCGTTGGCATTTCTGTGTGGAGTTTGCATGTTCTCCTTGTGTACACATGTGTTTGCTCAGAGTGCTTCGTTTTCCTCCGCAGTCCAAAGACATGGGCTATTTTTATTTATTTTTTGTTTTGTTTAGTTTATTTGTTTACAGGGTCAAAGCTGCACATTAATAAACATTACTATAAAATGTGCCAGAATTAGCCAAGAATGGCTATTTTTCATCTGTAGACCCCTTACAGAATGTTAAAAAGGTTGGAATTAAGGCTATAGGGGAATTAAATAAACTAAATAGGTCATGATATATGTAAGTGTGTGTGAATGTGAGATTGTATGCGTGTTTCCCAGTACTGGGTTGCTTCTAGAAGGGCATCCGCTGCATAAAACATATGCTGCAATAGTTGGCGGTTCATTCCGCTGTGGTGACCTCTGATAAATAAGGGACTAAGCCGAAGGAAAATGAATGAATGAGAAATTTGAATTCATGTTTACTAAAGGACACTAAAAGCTTGAAGTGGGCGGGGCAGAGCAGAAGTTTATAGAAGCTAATCAGAATGAGCCTCATCACCAGATCATTGTCATTGTCCACTTTCGGTGTGAACGCACAGTTATCTCATGGTCCTAGCGGTCTGTAAGATTGAAAGAAATTGGCCACCATGGTGGTGCTGTTGTGCTTTTTAAGTGTATAAAAGATGGTCTCTTTGGCAATTTTACAGAAATTAGAACTATTTTTATATCATAAAATATAATCTTCACTCTGTTCGACTGCTTCTTTCATTAAATCTGTTAGGTATTGGAAATTGTTTGAAAAATCTACTTTGATAAACTAGCAAACTTAGTCCTAGGCTTTGAACTTTTGCATTTGGAAAGCTATAGCAAGATCACTTACTGTACCTCACCTGTGAAGACTTGTGCGACTGCTTCTCTCCTAATCTTGAAAATATTGCCTGAATCGTAGAGATGCTGGATTAGGATCGTGTAGAGCAGTGGTTCCCAACCTGGGGTCCGCGCCCCCCTAAGGGGGGCGCCAGAGTTCACAGGGGGGGGCGCGGGAGAGGATAAGTATTGAGGTAGAAAAAGGCATAAAAATGGTCCACTATTATAAAGGGCTTTGCAATTAATCGAAAATCCGATTTAGATTTCGGTTTCAAACGATTATAAAAAGCATTAATCGAGATAAATGATTATTGCATCATATTTCGCCACAGTTGTACACGTGTTGCTCTTAAAAGCGCGAAAGAGCTTATGTGTGTGTGCAGCACGATCACGCAGTAAGAAGCATGCAGCCGGTCAGCATTCACTCTCATTCACACACTGAGACGAGCAGAGGAGCGCAGACATCTAAAGTCATCTTAACGTGAACGCTTTAATGGTCAAATAGGTGTCAAAACGCGGTGTTTAGTGATTATTTACATTAACCCTCATTTGTATAATAAACAAACGAGTTGAGGATCAAAAGACGTGAAAGAGAAACCATTAAAGAAACAGCGCGCTATAATCCTTCTGCCGCCTGTTTTTATCATTATTAAACAAACATAACGAGAAAACCCTCTCTGCTCTTGACTGAAGGACTGCTGTAGCTAAAGTGTTTTTCTTACAGTGAAGATGCTTAAAGCACAGTTTGTTTCATATTTTTATTATATTGTATTCATTTCTCTTTCCTTTGCAGGGTGGAAAATAACTGTATGTATACAGTTGAAGTCAGAATTATTAGCCCTCTTGAATATTAGCAAACCTTTTCCTGCCCAATTTCTGTTTCATGGAAAGAATATTTTATTAACTTATTTCTGAACATAATAGTTTTGATATCTCATTTCTAATTACTGATTTCTTTTTGTCTTTGCTATAATGACAGCACATAATATTTTACTAGATATTTTTCAAAATACAAGCATTCAGATTAAAGTGCAGTTCAAAGGCTTAATTAGAGTAATAAGGCAAGTCATTATAACGGTAGTTTATTCTGCAGACAATCAAAAATAAATATTGCTTAAGGGGGCTAATAATATTGACCTTAAATTGGTTTCAAAATATTTAAACCTGTCTTTATTCTAGCTAAAATAAAACAAATAGAAGAAAAAATATTATAGGAAATACTGTTAAAATTCCTTGCTCTGTTAAACATAATTTGGGAAATATTTATTAAAAAAAAAAAAATCTCAGGAGCGCTAATAATTTTGACCTTAACTGGCAATGGTTTTGAATAATCGTGATTACAATTATGACCAAAATAATCGGGATTAGGATTTTTCCCAAAATCGAGCAACCCAAAAAATAAAAAATAATCTAAACACATGCTTAAAATTCCAACATAATAGTGAAAATAATTAAAATAAATAACTTTAAATAATTATTTAAATTTTGCTCACTCGCGCAATCTGCTTGTCAACGTGTCGTAAAGGCAAAATCAAAACAAAAAGGGCAGACAAACGTAAATGCAGTGATTCTTCAGAGGCGAAGAAAAAGATTAGACAGTATGACAAAGCCTACCTAAATTTTGGTTTTATTGAAGGCCAAGACAAGTTAAAACTGATTAATTAATATTTTCTATACATATTACTATATATTAATATTACACAAACACACACACACACACACACACACACACATATATATATATATATATATATATATACATACACAGTACATATGTGTGTGCGTGTGTGCGTGCGTGCGTGCGTGTGTATTTATATGGTGGGGGGGCTCCAATGTTTGTATATGTTTATGGGGGGGGCCCCAAAGAAAAAGGTTGGGAACCACTGGTGTAGAGGGTCGAATCGAGATCACAATGTTTTTTTTTTTTTTTATATAACTCTACTGTCGTTATAGTTAGCATGAAATTCCTGCTTTTTTATGAACAAAAAAATATATAACATTAATGCACATCAACTCACCAGTAACTTTTTTTATGTATATGTCTCTGTAAGAAAACATCAGGAATAATTGGAAATCTGGCGACCGCAATAATCAAACCCTTGTGAACAACTGTGGTCGAAACCAAAGTTCACAGGAATGTGTTCTCTGGACTCGTTTCAAGCGGTGGACTCATTCCGATTGTTTTCGCTGAACAGCGTCATAGCTCATTACCATAAAGTTGACTTGATTTCAACACCCTCAACGCCCACACACATGAAGACGCGCCACACCCCTCATCACCACTGACTCACATTAAAAATAAATGACTTCCGGCTATTTTGATGCTTTCGCCACTTTCGGTGTGAACGCACAGTTATGTCATGGTCCTAGCAGTCTGTAAGATTGAAAAAAATTGGCCAGCAGGGCAGTGCTATAGCATTTTTTAATGTGTGTAAAAGATCATCTCTTTGGCAGTTTTACACATATTAGAACTATTTTTTTATACAATACATTTTACTCTTCACTCTGTTCAACTGCTCCTTTCTTTAAATCTGTTTGAAAAAGAAATCGTTTGAAAAACCTACTTTGACAAACTCGTAAACTAGTCCTAGGTTTTGAACTTTTGCAATTGGAAAGCTATGACAGAATCACCTACAAAAAGGGTTTGATCTGTGCTTCCTAAACGATTACAGGATCTTCCTAAAATTAGGTGAGCGTGACATGTAATTCTAAAGAAGCCAATTTTCAAGATTGTCTCACACTCTTAGAAATAAAGACACTAAATCTGTCACTGTGGCTCTACCTTTTCAAAAGGTTTTAGTTCCTAACAAGTCCTTGAAAGTACATAATAATTAGGGCTGCATGATTCTGGCTAAAATGAGAATCACTTTTTTTTTGCTTAAAAATAAAGATCACGATTTTCTCACGATTCTGTAGATGTAAAATAAAGGAATATGAATAGGCTATTATTGTTACCTCTCAAACATATGGACTACTGTTGGTTAAAAGGCTAAATTTGCGATGATAGACTTGAATCGACTGTAAATTTGTCCTAGTCATTAATGCACAGTAAAGTGATTAGAAGTCTACCGCGAATACTTCATAATTACACAAAGACAGAAATGATATTTTTGTGTGAATTATACCTTATAATTGTAAATACAGTATGTGACCCTTTTAACACCATTTGGAGGTGTCCACGTTGCTGGGAAACATATAAAAATACTATGTGAAGACTTGTTTAACCATTGTTATTCTTCTCTCCTAAACTTGAAATATTGGCTGAATCGTAGAGATTCTGGATGAAGATCATCTAGGGGGTCAAATCGAGATCTTTTTTCGATTAATTGTGCAGCCCTAATATTAATACCTAAAAAGTACAAATGTAGGCCCCATAGTACCTTAAAGGTACAAAAGGGCACCTTAAAGATACAAAAGTGTACCCTAAAAGTATTAATGTCCACCTGTATCATACAAAAGTGAATATTTTAAAAAGCTACCCCCCCCCAGTGACAGATTTTGTACCTTTATTTTTGAGTGTTTAGATTAGTGGTCACCAAACTTGTTCCTGAAGGGCCGGTGTCCTGCAGATTTTAGCTCCAACCCCAATCAAACACACCTGAACAAGCTAATCAAGGTCTTCAAGGTATACTTGAAACATCCAGGCAGGTGTGTTAAGGCAAGTTGGAGCTAAACCCTGTAGGGACACCGGCCCTCCAGGATCGAGATTGGTGACCCCTGGTGTAGATGCTGCTTGAACAGTCATAAAGGTGCTACATTCCTCTTCCCAAGAGTGTTGATTTTGTCCTTTGAGATTAATCATTGATTCCTGTTATTCTTCCACAGAGGACTGTGATTACGAAGGTTCTTGTGTGCGTTTGCTGTCTGCTCTGGTTCTTCATCATCACCCGGGCATTCCCCATAAAGTACAATGTGGACCCACAGTTCATCACGGAGGCCTCCTTCATTAGCAGACTGGCTTATGCCTTTGTATCCATCCAGGCAGCCAGACCCAAGTTCTACTTCGCATGGACGCTTGGTAAGCAGAAGGAGAGAGAGGTTTAAGATGGTGTGCTTGGCTTAAAGTGAGAATATTTTATGAATTCCCACATTAAGATATATCATTATGTGACCGTATAGACGGCAATAGAGATCTACGCATAGCTTAACACACACAGGATGTACAGTGATACACTTTTACGTTTGACTTTTTCTTTACATATATAAAAATGAATAGATTAAAATGTTACAAACATTATTATTTTCTGCATAAATATAAAAACCACTACTTTCAGTAATTTAATATTCACTAAAAAACAATACAATGGGTTGATCATAGCTGCATGACATATTCAAAAGTCTTAAAAAGTTCACCCAAAACTTCTCATCAACCAAAAATTCTCTCATCATTCACTTGTTCCAAACCTGTTTGTCTTTTTTTTTCTTGAACACAAAAGAAGACTGGATACCTGAAACTGTTGACATCCATAGTATGCAAAAGCACTGCAGTGTTTGGCTGTTCTGTGGGTTGTCTAGAGTAGTTAGTATGTACAGACAGCCCCATAACCCCCCCCAACCAAAAAACATACATAAAACTGTATATGGAAAGCATCGTCGATACACCGAGATATTATTTTGAACCGAATCGATGGCATGATAATCATAACCAAACCGTGAGACCCGTGTAGGTTCACACCTCTAATTTGTAATTTAAGTAGCACAATTACATTTGACTTTAGTAACTTAAATCAAACTACACAAATTTAAAATGTAATTCATTACATTACTGCGTTCCCCAACAATGTAATTAAAGTACAGTAACGCATCACTGTGGAAGGCATTACACGAAACTCTGATTATAATGATCCACTAATTGCACTAAAATCCTATTTGGAGAAAGAAAACAGCTGATGAAAAACAGACAGCCATGAAATGGCCTCCACAGGGTCCAGACCTAAATACTATAGAGATATGAGATCACCTAGACAGAAAAGCAAGATAAGACACTCCAAGTTTAAAGAAGAACTCTGGAAATGGCTAACAGAAGCCTGATATTACACAGCGCATTATTTCAGAAAGTATCAGAACAATGGAATGCCAAGGGAAGCCACATTAAACACATACTTTTGCTTGAAGAGGAAATGTTGTGCTGCTGTTGTTGTTGTTTTGTACATATTTCCTAAATGTTCTGTTTGTTCTTAATAAAGAGACTGATTGATTATATATTGTGCTTTGGCCAGCAAAGCTGGTATAGTGCTTAGTAGTTTGCACAGTACTGTACATATTTGCTGTTTCACTGGTTGCATACAATCTAATAATGTAATAATGAATAATAAAAGGGTAACACTAACCAGTTAGGATAAACCTTGTGATAGCAAGTGATAACACAAATGAAAGGCTACATGATGCTATTTTAACTGCTCAGTATTTTGTTTATTGGGTGCACTAGTAGAACAGTCATGTAGAATTGTAATACAGTAATGTGCATTTGTGTTTGCCGGGTGAATTGATTGTTATTTAAAATGGAGCTTGCTAGTAAATGTTTTTTTTTTCCACGTATAGCGGATGCAGTACATAATGCAGCGGGTTATGGAGTCAGCGGTGTGAATGAGAGAGGAGAAGTGTCCTGGGACCTTGTCTCCAACGTTCGCATCTGGGAAATTGAGGTATGTTCAATACTTTTGAAAAGACCAAGCAAACAGTGTATTCATTTCCAGAGTCACAGAAGGGCTGTGAAATATAAAGCAAATCACTTCTCTCTTACAGACAGCGACGAGTTTTAAATCATTTATTGACAACTGGAATATACAGACGGGTCTTTGGCTGAAAAGGTATGTCCTTAAAGTAATATTTACTTTATATATTTCATTGATTTAATAGTTAACTGAGTTGTTGGTATTATTGGTTATTGGAAAGTTTTGAAATTATCATATTCAGAAAGAACAATTTGGAGTCAATGTACAGTATGAGGTTAAGCTTAAATATGTAAAGTAAGGTTATGCTGTGTGATGGAATATGGGATTATACTAGTGTCACTGCCAAGATAAACCATGTTTGTTTGAGATTTAGTCTATTCCCTTCGTTCCTGATCATATGAAACTTGCCAAAACATGAAGGTTTGAGATGTTCCTTTGATTTATTTAAAAGTTATGTTTAGCTTTAGTGAAAATACAAATTAAATTCATCCTACTCTGAATTTTTAGGCTTGAGTCATGTAGTGTAATGTAAAGTTGTTCATGGGAAGTCTGAAAAAATGATTAATTATGGTAAATGGTTATATTGTATTGTAGATATACGGTTAAGGTCAAAAAAATTTTTTTCTTTTTTAAATATTTCCCAAATAATGTTTAACAGAGCAAGAAATTTTTCACAGCATGTCTGATAATATTTTTTCTTCTGGAGAAAGTCTTATTTGTTTTATTTCGGCTAGAATAAAAGCAGTTTTAAATTTTTTAAAGCCATTTTAAGGTCAATATTATTAGCCCCCTTAAGCAATATTTTTTTCAATAGTCTACAGAACAAACCATCGTTATACAATAACTTGCCTAATTACCCTAAACTGCCCAATTAACCTAGTTAAGCCTTTAAATATCACTGTAAAGCAGGTCGCACACCAGAAGCGCCGCGCAGCGACACGCAGCGCCATGCATTTTAGAATTCTAAACATAGGTTTCTATCAGGACACACACATGGGCGCCGCAAGTCGGCGGCTGTCGGCATTCAAATGTGCGCGTCTGGTGTGTGATACTTTAAACTGCTATGTGCGCGCCATGTCGCGGCGCTTCTGGTGTGCGACCTGCTTAAGCTGTATAGAAGTGTCTTGAAAAAATCCTGTCAAATATTATTTACTGTCATCATGGCAAAGACAAAATAAATCAGTTATTAGAAATGAGTTATTAAAACTATTAAAACTATCTTCTCTACGTTAAACAGAAATTGAGTAAAAAAATAAACAGCGGGACTAATAATTCAGGTGGTCTAATAAGTCTGACTTCAACTGTATATATATATATATATATATATATATATATATATATATATATATTTCTCACATGCCTTTATCTTTCACTCATGTTTCAGAGTGTGTTATGATCGAGCGCCGTTTTACCGTACACCGCTCACGTTTGTGCTGTCGGCCATCTGGCATGGAGTTTACCCAGGATACTACTTTACATTCATCACTGCTATACCCATCACCTTAGCAGCTCGCTCCGTGAGTCTCTCTCTCTCTCCCTTTCACACACACACACACTGAGAATGATTGTCTCTATCTACTAATCTGAAAACACTGCAGATTACTGCTTTACCTGCATCACTGTTATGCCATTCACATCTAACTCGTGCTGTTGGGCTGGTTGCGCTGCATTTTCTGTCACATGTTGTGAAACCACACAAGAGTAATCTCAGTGCTACCTCTCAGTGGCTGTCTGAAACTTAAAGAAGAACTGGTATGCAAAAATCACTTTCATAAGGGGTTTAAAAACAGTTCTGTGGCAACAGTGTGTGAATATAGCCAGCCTCTAAAGGTAAAAATGAATTAATTCTACTTTTTATAAACACTTCATAAAAACAGTCTGCAGAAACACTTTGATTGACATTCTCCCTGTGTATGTGACATCCGAGGGGGAAAGCCCCGCCCATTACTGCATCCGCTGCGTAAAATATTTGCCAGAATAGTTGCTGGTTCATTCCACTGTGGCAGGCCCTGATGAATAAAGGGATTAAGCCGAAGGAAAATGATTGAATGATTGAATATCAGTTCAATTCTACTCTGTTCTATTGTATTGTTTTTATTTTTTTATTCAAAATGTTCTATTCTAGTGTCTAACAATTAAATCGGCTAATAATGAAATCTTCAACTGTATATTATGCAAAAATAAACATGTATTTAATTGTGATTAATCGTTTGACAGCACTAATAAGAAAAATATTTTAACTTTTGCTACTGTGCAGCAATCCATTGCATTGGATTTCTATTGTTATATTGTGCATTTCAAAGGATTTGTTAAACTTTTGAACAAAATTGGTGTGTGTTTCACATTTGTGTGTACGTCTCTTCTGACAACGCACATGGCAGTGTGAGTCACAAATGTCTATCAATGATTGACGCATGACTAGTTTATTGCTCATCATTCTCAGCCACACCTGCCAACCACACTCACTTAATCTATTGTCTTTTGTTTTGGTTTGGTGTAACCAGGTGCGCAGAAACTTCCGGAAATATTTCTTGTCTTCTCAGCAGCTCAAGTTCTGCTATGATGTTGTGACATGGGCTGCCACTCAGCTGACTATCTGCTACACTGTCATGCCCTTCCTTCTGCTGGCGTTGGAGCCCACCTTGAAGTATTACAGGTAAAATATGTTAAAATTGATAAATAATGATAAATAAAATTGTTTATTTATTTCACTGATTGTTTGTTTGTTTGTTTGTTTGTTTATTCAGTTTGTTTATTACTTTTAGTTTCTTTTATTTTGAGTGGGTAAATCTGAAATACCGAAAAAAGTGTTTTTTTTTATTGGATTTTAATTGTATTATTTGTTTAATTTAATTTAATTTAATATTTTATGTATTATTCTATTGTATTAAATTTACCCAAATAAAGTGTGTGCACGGATTCAGTACTGTTTTTTTTTTTTTTTTTTTTTTTTTTTTTTTATTTAATTAATTAATTATTAGAATTTTTATTTATTTATTATTATTATTATTATTTATTTATTTATTTTAGTTTTCATTTTTATTTACCAAAATAAAGTGTGTGCATAGATTTAGTACTGTTTTTTTTATAAAATTTTATTTTATTTTTTATTTTAAAATTTTCATTTTCATTATAATTTTTTTATTCATTTATTTATTTTGTTTTTATTTGTTTATTTATTTAATTTTAGTATTTATTATTTTATTTTTTAGAAAAAAAAATGTTATTTATTTTTCATTTTGTTTTATTTTTACTTTAATTTTTTATTTTATTTAAATTTTAATTTAATTTATTTATTTTATTGTATTTTTTTATTTATTCAATTTTTTTTATTCAAAGTGCATGCACAGATTCAGTACTGTTTTTTTTATTTTACTTAATATTATTTTTTATTTGATTTTAATTTTTATTTAAAAATATTTTTAAATTAAGATTTATTTATTTTATATTTTGTAGTATTTTTTTCATTTTATTTGACCAAAATATAGTGTGCACAGATTCAGTACTGTTACTTTTTTAATGTTTTTTGATTTATTTTATTATATTTTATTTTACCAAAACAAAGTGTGTGCAGAGATTCAGTACTGTTTTTTTTATTATTATTATTTTGAGCACTCAGTAAATCTGAAATCATACACAAAACAAGTGTACAGATACTAACCACTACCAGAATCTAACCACTACTTCAAAAAGATAGCCTGGCTGTATTGTTTTTTTTTGAGTCATTACCTGTTGTAGTATTTCTCTGAATTAGCATCAGCGTTTAGGCTATGTGTTGGTTCTGGTCTTCTTGAGCTGCTATTTTGTGGCTTTTTTTTCTAGTCTTTGCTTGGGGTTGCTGGGGTGTTTGGTGTGGTGCCAGTGCTATTTGGTTGCTTGGCTTGCATTCGTTATTTAGCAATGATGCTGACTAAAAATCAATCCAAAATCAGTTTTTCAGATTTGATTTTAACCAAATATTTTCACATATTTACACTGATGTTAGCATCATCTTGTGGCCACTTTAAGAACTGCATGCAAAAAAGACTGGCTTAGCCTGCATGTAAAGGTAAACAACAGTGTAATTGGTAAAGCAAAGCAAATTATTAATCAACATAACTCCCGTTCTTCATATCAGCTTTTTATAAGCACAAAAAAAATTAAAAATTACATATAATTATATATAATAAAAATATAATTACAAATGTAAATATATTTATTTTGTATTTTGTTGTATTTTATGTTTACTTAAATATAAACAGTATATATTATGTAAATACAAACTTTTATCTTGGATGCGATTAATCGCAGTTAATTGTTTTACAGCACAAATTTGTATACAAAGGAAAATAAAAAATAAAAACAAACATGAAGCAAAATATATGAGTAAGAGGTTGCATAAATTCCTGATTTTGGGCCACTCTGAATTTTAAAATTTGTATTACTCTTCCTGGGGCAACGTGATGGCGCAGTAGGTAGTGCTGTCACCTCACAGCAAGAAGGTCGCTGGTTCGAGCCTCGGCTGGGTCAGTTGGCGTTTCTTTTTTTTCTCTTTTTTTTTCAAATCAAAAAAACAAATAAAAAAAACAAATTTTTATTTTTATTTATATTTTGGTCAATAAAACATCAATTACAAATGTATTTGAAAAACAGAGACAAATTATCTTTGCTCCAACAGAGCCCCCCGCCCCACTGCTCCATTTCTAAACAATATGTTATGCCTATTTTTAATCTGTTTTACATCATGTCATGATATATACCTACATACAATACGAGTAAATAAAAGTTCCATTATATGTTCACTCATCTATTGTACATATATACACACACAACGAGTCACAATAGGCTTAGCAAATGTAAAATAAAGAAATAAAATAATTTAGATAGAAATTAAAATGTAGTCAAATAAAATGAAGGGAGGGAAAAAATGTGATAAACAATTAAATAATGGTCAAACTGAAAATATTAAGTTTGGATCCATTTGTTTTATATATGTCAGCACTGGCTGCCAAATAAGATCAAATATTTGACTGCAACCTTTGGTGGAATACCGAATCTTCTCCATTGTAAGATGGTACATAAGGTCCCTAATATAATGATTAAAAGTTGGAGGAAATTTGTCTTTCCATTTGAGCAGTTTAAGACGTCTAGCATTTAATGTTGAAAAAGAAATCATGCTTTTGGTATTATGGTCTTAACCGGGATCCGTGATTAAATCAGTTGGCGTTGCTGTGTGGAGTTTGCATGTTCTCTCCGTTGTTTGCGTGAGTTTCCTCCGGGTGCTCCGATTTCCAAAGTCCAAAGGTATGCACTATAGGTGAATTAAATAAACTAAATTGTCCGTAGTGTATGTGTGTAAATTAGTGTGTGGGTGATTCCCAGAGATGGGTTGCAGCTGGAAGGGCATCCGCTGCGTAAAACATATACTGGATCAATTGGCAGTTCATTCCGCTGTGGTAACCCCAGATTAATAAAAGGGACTAAGCCGAAAAGAAAATTAATGAATGAATTACTCTTTCCTCTGAAAAAATGTTTGCAGCACTACAGTATTCAATGTGATATATATATAGTGCATCCGGAAAGTATTCATAGCGCTTCACTTTTTCCACATTTTTTATGTTACAGCCTTATTCCAAAATGGATTTAATTTATTTCCTCAGAATTCTACACACACCACCCCATAATGACAATGTGAAAACAGAAAAATTACATGTACATCAGTGTTCACAGCCTTTGCTCAATACTTTGTTGATGCACCTTTGGCAGCAATTACAGCCTCATGTCTTTTTGAATATGATGCCACAAGCTTGACACACCTGTCTTTGGGAATTTTTGCCCATTCCAGTACCACTCAAGCTCTATCAGGTTGGATGGGAAGCGACGATGTACAGCCATTTCCAGATCACTCCAAAGATGTTCAATATAATTTAGGTTTGGGCTCTGGCTGGGCCACTCACGGACATTCACCTAGTCATTGTGAAGCCACTCCATTGATATTTTGGTGGTGTGCTTTGGGTCATTGTTCTACTGGAAGATAAACCGTGGTCGCAGTCTGAGGTCAAGAGCACTCTGAAGCAGGTTTTCATTCAGGATGTCTCTGTACATTGCTGCATTCATCTTTCCCTCTATCCTGACTAGTCTTCCAGTTCCTGCTGCTGCTGGAAAACTTCCCCACAGCATGCTTCCCTGTCCTGCCACCACCATGCTTCACTGTAGGGATGGTATTAGCCTGGTGATGAGCGGTGCCCGGTTTTCTCCTAACGTAACGCCTGGCAATCACTCCAAAGAGTTCAACTTTCGTCTCATCAGAGCAGAGAATTTTGTTTCTTACGCTCTGAGAGTCCTTCAGATGCCTTTTGGCAAATTCCAGACGGGGAGTGGCTTCCGTCTGGCCATTCTACCATACAGGCCTGATTGGAGGATTGCCTGCTAAGGTTCTCCTTTCTCCACAGAAGAACGCTGGAGCTCAGACAGAGTGTCCCTCGGGTTATTGATCACCTCCCTGACTAAGGCCCTTCTCCCCCAATCACTCAGCTTAGATGACTGGCCAGCTCTAGGAAGAGTCCTGGTGGTTCCAAACATCTTCCACTTACGAATGATGGAGGCCGCTGTGCTCACTGGAACTTTCAGAGCAGCAGAAATGTTTCTGTAACCTTCCCCAGCCTTGTGCCTCAAGACAATCCTGTCTCGGAAGGTCTACAGACAATTCCTTTGCCTTAATGCTTGGTTTGTGCTTTGACATGCACTGTCAACCCTGGGGCCTTATATAGACAGGTGTATGCCTTTTCAATTCATGTCCAATCAACTGAATTGACCACAGGTGAACTACAATGAAGCTGCTGACACATCTCAAGAATGATCAGTGGAAACAGAATATACCTGAGCGCAATTTAAAGCTTCACGTCAAAGGCTGTGAATACTGATGTACATGTGATTTCTCAGGTTTTTAATTTTTATAAATTTGCAACAATTTCAAAAAGTCTTATGGGGTGTTGTGTGAAAGATTTTGAGGTAATAAATTACTTTAATCCATTTTGGAATAAGGCTGTAACATTAAAAAAATGTGGAAACACTGAAGCGCTATGAATACTTTCTCGATGCACTCTATCAATCCGTCCATCCATCCAATTATATTAAATGGAAAATGTTTTTATAAAGGAATCAACTATTACTTTTCTTTTGATGTGTTTATATGACACACGTTTACCTTTTGGTATGTTCTCTGTTCCTTTAGATCGATGTACTTTCATGTGCATGTCATCAGCATTCTGGCTATGATCCTCCTGCCCGGCAAACCCAAGAGCTTCAAGCCTGAAAACCATGACCTGCATTCCAACAACAATGTGAAGGAGGACTGAAGAGTGTGTGCGTTTGTGTGTTTATGCGTGTGTGTGTGTGTGTGCGCGCGGGGTCGCCTTTGTGCAAACTGAGAGAGCAACGACATTGACGGACAAAGGCTACTTTGTGTGAACACAAAAAAAAAGCTGGGCCTCCGCTTGCTTACAGGCAGTTCACAAACACACACAGACTAAACCTCACTAGGGATGCACTCCATTGAAAAGACACACACATAAGCAATGATTTCATGAGAACAAATAAGGGAACGCACAGTTTGAGATTAAGTCCTAACAAGGCAGCTATTTGCAAGATTTCCTAAGGAAAATGAACGCTGCCCATTTTAAGCGTCTTTTAACTAGTTTAACACTGTATGCTAGAGAAGGAGGTATCCTTAATTGTACGTCGTTTGCTAATTTATTTTGGATGTAGTTGTGGTACTGATGCTGAGAGTTGAGTGAGGTTTTTATAGAACTGAATATTAATGTGCAGACAGTAACTTAGTTTTGTGGTGTAAAGACGTCTGTTGTGAGTATGCAATGCGTAACTGCTGTGAAAAATGAATGAAAGTAGTACTGCTGCAATATTAACTGACGAAGAATGGAATTAGAATTATATGTGTTGTGGATGGTGATACTTAAATAAATGTTACAGTTTTTAAAATGGATTTAGAATTTATAAAGCATTTTTACAAGCATGCAATCTAAAGAAATGCCAGGTTATTTCAACCCAATTGTGGGTGTAATAGGGACTCTACTGCAGTATGGTGCATATATGTGTATATAAGAAAGCTATTTCCTACTATTAAAGGGCTATATATATATATATATATATATATATATATATATATATATATATATATATATATATATATATATATATATATATATATATATATATATATATATATATATATATATATATATATATATATATATATATATATATGTGTGTGTGTGTGTGTGTGTGTGTGTGTGTGTGTGTGTGTGTATATATATATATGTGTGTGTGTGTGTATGTGTGTATATATATATATATGTGTGTATGTGTATGTATATATATATATATATATATATATATATATATATATATATATATATATACATACACACACACACACACATATATATATATACATACATACATATACATACATATATATATATATATATATATATATATATACACACACACATATATAGCCCTTTAATAGTAGGAAATAGCTTTCTTCAATATTTGCTTTCTTAAATATAAACAAAAATGTATAATATAAATATACATTTGACCAGTATCAATCAATGGTAGGAAAAATATCATCCAACAGTCTGAATTTTGCAAATCTATAGCACCAAAAGACATCTTAAATATTTACAAAACAGATGTAATGTAAAATAGGTGTTTATATCTGCATGTAGCCTAAAAAAAGAGAAATTAGACACATAATTTGTGTAGTTTGACCTACAGTAGCCTCTAAAATAGTCACTAAATATCTCTCAAAACACTGAAAATGTATACTTTTTATTAATAAATTAGAAGCATTTTAAATAAATTCACTAAAGCATGTTACAAACTAATACCAATATAAGTCATTTGGAAAGAAAGAAAGAAAGAAAGAAAGAAAGAAAGAAAGAAAGAAAGAAAGAAAGAAAGAAAGAAAGAAAGAAAGAAAGAAAGAAAAGCTTCATTAGTGCTTAGCTGGACGTCTGAACTGTTTCTAAATTATTACCAAAGTAATTAACAAATTGTTATATATGTTATATAAATTGTTCTATATTTTATTGTTATAAAGTTATTTGTATATTCCTCTTATTTTGCCTTCTATTTGAGAAATTATTTGTTGATCTGTGTAAAGCCACCTATGGTGTGTGGATTTCTATGAAGGTGACATTTGTAGCAGAAGCGATGCTTTTCGAATCTTTGAATCAGTTGAGCCGAATGCTTGTAATGATTCATTGTTTCGAAATTCGGCGTGCTGAGGACATCTGCTGGTTAAGATCTGTAAATACTACAAAAACACAGCTCGGAGTTTTACAAAGATTGAAAGTGTTTTCGTCACACAGTAACAGTGCGATTAAATATAATCTATATGTAGTATAATATGTAGGTTTTAATCAATTTGTAGCACAAATCTGTAACATCAACGCTGTTTGATTGAACGACACTTACAAACAACGTGTTATGACTGGCTACCATTAATAACAGTAGCATACTTGGATTAAACGGGATATTTGTGAATATAAACTGACAGTTTTAACAGGTTTGTGATAGATTTAGATTTTACATTTACGTAATATAAATTTATCATCAATAAAATCAATATAAATCTATTTCATACCTTTTGATAGACTAAATTAATATTGCTGGTTTTGTTTTTCACACAAAAAAGGTTCATTATTTTTGCCCTGATATTTTTCCACATGAGATTAAGGCTGAGCAAAGACAATAATTCATGCTGAATGCATGTGTCTGTTTTAAATGAAATCTCCAATATACAAATATGATTGTTCAAACTGCGTGGACGACGTAGAATGGTATAACTTATTTATTTATTGGTGAGGCAGTGGCGCAGTAGGTAGTGCTGTCGCCTCACAGCAAGAAGGTCACTGGTTCGAACCTCGGTTCAGTTGGCGTTTCTGTGTGGAGTTTGCATGTTCTCCCTGCCTTCGCGTGGGTTTCCTCCAGGTGCTCCGGTTTCGCCCACAGTCCAAAGACATGTGGTACAGGTGAATTGGGTAGGCTAAATTGTCCGTAGTGTATGAGTGTGTCTGAATGTGTGTGTGGATGTTTCCCAGAGATGGGTTGCGGCTGGAAGGGTATCTGCTGCGTAAAAACTTGCTGGATAAGTTGGCGGTTCATTCAGCTGTGGCGACCTCGGATTAATAAAGGGATTAAGCCGGATAAGAAAATGAATGAATGAATGTTATTTATTTAAATATACAAATCAAAAATTTGAGATTACTATGTAAATATTTTGGCTTATGTAACCATAGCATGTACGTTTACATCTACTCTGGGTGGTTTTGAGTCTTAATTTGGCCATAACATTTTCTGTTTCAGATTGCAGAATACTTTTTGCTGACAAATCTTATTTTGAAACGTATTTAAAAAAACAACAACAATCCACTCTGCGCAAAATGACTAGCCTTTTGTCATGTTCAGGATGAAAACATCCACTGAATTAAACTGCTGTAAAAATGCATCAGTTACATATTTTTCCTTTTTTTTTTTTGTGGCATAAATCTGTAAATCAATCTCAGTCCTGATCAAAACTACTAAATATTTTTAAGAATTACAGGATTTTAACTCTTTAATAGTCAAATTCATAAATGATGTCACTGATTTGGAGAAAAAAATCACACCAAAATGGCTTAATTTCAACATAAAAAGTAATTGTAGACTGGATTTTTTTTTTACGTTTTATCAAAGTCTAGGACTGTGTGACAGCTCTATTTTAAAAAAAAATAATATTGATGTAAGTCTCATATTAATAACTATAAAATATTTAAATTATTTCACTAGTGATTCATTAAGGTACATTAATAGATACCAGATAAATAATATTTTAAAATGTTATTTTCATTGTTGAAGTTTAAAACTCTGGGTGTGCGACAAGGTGAAAACAGTGGTTTTGACACCTAAAAGGAAGTTGAATATTATGAAAGAATATAAAAGAAAGGTAGTCATTTTTTAAGTAGATTTTTTGTTAGTTTGACAAAGAAAGAGGAATTTGAACAGAATTATAGATATTTTTGAATATATGATCAAAGGACATAAAAGTGCCCATAGTTAAAGAATTACCCATGTATTATTAAAGGAATCTAATGATGAAGATGATTAAAAATGGTAAAATAGGAAAGGTATGATGACATTTTAATAAATGGCATAAGCATAAAATATGTCTGATGTAAGAAGAGATAAGTAAGAGAAGAAATAAGTTAAAGTAATAGACGAATGATAATGAAGTGGGAAAATAATAAGCTTGTGCTTCATCCCGCTACATTTTATAAGATATTAATAAGATATTTTATATATGATATTTCTGTTCAAAAATCAATCAAATTTACTCACCACTTACTAGTTCCAGGCCTGTTTTGTGAACACAACAAAAAGAGATATTTTAAAGAAAGCTGAAAACATGTAGACTTCAATAGAGAAAACAAATAAGGGAGGATTACAGGTATAGCATTCATCAAAATATCTTCTTTTGTGTTCAACAGAATAAAAAACTCAAAACTGTTTAATAGAGGTAAAGTTGGTTTTATAATCGCACATTCGTTCATTTAGCAGTCTCTATATTGTTTACCATGGTACTTTGAATATCCGCTCGGAATTAGCATGCAAGTATGACTTCTAAACAACATTAACTCTATCTAATTCAATGTGAACAATGTTGTTCTTTGATAGTCTTTGGCTGCTAATATGATTTCCCTATATAGAATTTGCAAATATTACTTTTCTGAAATGATATTATTAAGGAAAATGTCTGAATATCCGAATATAAAACCAACTTTACCTTTATAACTGTCTTAAAGCATTTGAGGGTGAGTAAACAGTGAGCAAATGTTCATTTTGGGTGAACTTTACCTTTTATTCTGGTAGTATTGACTGAAATCCACTCGAAGCATTGAATCGAAACAAAAGATTCGGACCTTTTATGAACTAGTGTTCGAACGCGTGAATCACTTATGACGTAGAGGGGAAAGATGGCGTCGGCCTACCTGACCCACAGCCAGAAGGTCCTGCGGCTTTACAAGAAATCACTGAGACACCTCGAGTCGTGGTGTGTTTACAGGTGAGCTCGCTAAATTTATAAGTTGCAGGTTAATTCCTTTGTATTGACTGTTTTTGTTTTGGGCCGCCCAGGGATGATAAAAACGTCAGTCGGTTTCCGTCTGTCCTGCCAATTCCTGTTTGTTGTTTAAACATAACAGTTACTCGTTCTCTGTCCTCTTGAACTATTGAATCTGTGTTAATTGCGAGCAAAATATGCTTTTGCGGTGCATTATTTCAACGGAGGTCGCTT